AGAGCTCAAAAAAATTTAGTCTACAATTTAAACAACTCAAAATCATTAATTCTCTACCATTAACATAAATTTTCATACCATTTATTTCATTTAAAATCTCAAGTCTCATTTTGTTGAGAAATTTTGATATCTAAAGGTTCCATTAACTTATTTAAACTCCAATGAGCCTAACCAAACCCGTTGTCCACTTATTTATTCCACAATTGACTCAATTTTGGGTTACTCCAACATGCTCAAAATCACAATTAAATTCAAGCTAAAACTTCTAAAATGTGAAACCCCAATTCCAACCAATATCATCAACCACCTCAAAACCCTCACTTGATTACAAACTCTAACCTCAAACTCTCTAAATCAAACATTTGAACAAATTTCAACTGAGTAAATACTTTTCCATTAACATATTTAAACTCAAATTAATCGATTAAAACTATCTCAAATTCAAAATTATAGAAAGCTCCAAATCCTTCACTATTAAGAATTCTGAAAATGGAAAAGAAAATAGCTTAGAAAAATATTTAAAAAATTTAGCTAACCATAGAAAGTTTAAAATTCCTCCTCAAGATATCATATAATTGAACCCACCCCCTTAGAAATCTCCTCCTTCAGTCGAGGCCCTTGTGTTTCGCGATCGCTCCTCTGTTTCTTTTCTTTCTGCGCAGAAACAAAAGTGAAGGGGGAGGAAGGGCTTTGCCGTCTTATATAATGGGTGGGGCCCATTATGAAAATATGCACCCCTTTTCTTATTAAAAAATAAATCTCTCCTTCTTTTTCAATTTCTTAAAAACATGTTAGCATTTTTCTTTTTCTCTTAAAATTCTATCCAATATACTATTTATTAGACTATTCAAAAAGTTAAAGGATTGAATTATTTAGATACTTTGTTCAAATAAATTTTTTATATTATCTAAATAATTGTAATCTTTTAAGCGAGAAATAATTCACATGATTTATTTAATCTCACTTAATTTAATTATTTTTTTCCTTTTTTAAAATATCATGACTTGGTACTATATTGTTAAAATTTAAATCTTCTTTGATGAATTTTCTTTCCTCATATAATTATTTGATAAATTTTAATTACCATGAAGTAATTACATGAAAATCAACAATATTAATAAATATTTACTACCTTTAATTTTGTACTTCTTTTTCATAAAATTATACTTTGATGCTTTAAGAAATAATCATAATCAATCTATCTTGCTTAGGATTTTTTTTTTCTCAATTTCATATTCTATTTCATTAAATCATAATCATATGTGCCTTTAGACCTTGGACAACATAAATTAAGTTACCCTAAACCTCAATTTACTTAATAAATTATATTCTAATTTTACTTAAATTTTGGGATAAAAAAATTGAGATGTTACACACAGCATACTAACAGAAGGGCATTTTTTGTCCTCACAAAATAGTTTAGAGGAAAATTATTCCGCTCAAGAGTATAGAGTGACCATCACTCCTAAAAAATAAGTATAGGGATAAAATTAAATACTAACCCTTCAAATTATCAAGAGATTAAAGTAGAATTTAGATTTGGGTCACTCTATATATCCAAACATAACATAAAAGTAAATAATCCAAAATTATAGATCTAGAAGCGTTTAGGACTTTACACTCATCTTTTATATAATATTCCTCTTTAACTTTTGAAAGTAGTGTAATCTAATCTATGCCTATCACACCCGGATCATGCCTTTTCTGAAGATGGAAGGTCGATAAAATATAAGAAAATGAGAGTTGCCACCAAAGTTTTTAAGAAACCTTGAAAAATCATATGATGAAAAAGGATGGTTTGCGAAAGAGTTCGAAAGTTGATTGTGTATGGGAAAATTGTTAGGCACCCCATGATATCCGTTCATAAGAATGGTTACCCTAAGTTGATTGTGCAAATTAATTAGTCTTTTAATAATATCTTAATTACCCTTTAATCACATGCAAACTAAAGATAAAAAATTATTTATTTACATAGGAAAACTTGACTTAGGATCAAAGCCTAAGGTCTATATACCTTGTGATGAGGATCAAAGTCACATAGTTCAAAATATCATTATTTAAGTTTTCTTTTACTTTTTTTATTAATTTATTTTATGAAGAGAATGTTATTTTAGGTTGTATTATTTTTTAAAATATAAAATTGTTCCTTGAAAATCCCTTTAGGTAAGAGGAAAATAACCAATGCTAAAACCTACAGTGATTTAGTATCACTTATAGCACAACCTAATTTTTATTTTTTTATAATACACAAGAGGGGAAATTCTAATCAATATTAGAACTTGCAGTAATTTATTATCACTTATAGTCCACCGGTTGATGTTGTAAATGCACACAGTGATTTATTATCACTCATGACAAATTCTAAAAGAATTTTCAAAATGAATTTTCCATAAAGTAATTTTATTGTGAACTTTTAGTGTAAAAATTAATACTTACGATGACTTAGTATCACTCACGGTATCTTATTTGATATTTGTATTAATCTACAGTGATTTAGTATCACTCATGAATCCTAAAAATATGTTGGTAAATTTTAATATTTTTTAGAATTTTTGACATTTGATATTCACGGTGATTCAATATTACTCACTTCATCAGTGTATTGAATACCCACAGTGATTTAGTATCACTCGTGGTTACCATTTTTTTAAAAAAAAATAAGTAGATTATAAGAATATTTTATCAAGAAGACTATACAATAAGCTGCAATAACATTATTCTCACAACTTTTAACAGAATAAAAAAATAAAACAAAGGAAAAGTGAACATCAAGATAGTATAGATACAGCATCTTCTCATGTATAAGATGATGATTAAAAGAGTCTATGTGCCTTGCCAATTTAGGACAAACTCACAACAAAGATCAATTATATTAATAAATAACAAACAGAACCGAAAAACAAACAAACAAAAAAGAGTCATTTCGAGTCCAAACCGAGAATGTGTGTAGGAAACATAAGCTTCAAAATACGAGACGCTAACATTGGGTGAGAAGCGAATACATGAAGTTCAAGAATAAGAAGACCACAAATAATCAGCTGCCATGCCCATAGAGAAAGGATTCAACAAGGTTTTGATATTGACTCAAGAAGGTTTTTTTTGTTTTACCCATTCACCAGGCAAAACTAGAGGAATAATGAAAAAGAAATCACACACCTTCAAATTCTTACTAATGCCTTTTGCAGTCTCCTTCTAGGATTTCCCTTGTCAATCCCCCCCCCCTCCGGTCTATTTCTTTTTCTATGCTGTCTCTTTTATAGGCCCCAACTAAAGTTTTTTTTTTTTCCTCTTAATGACATAATCAAGTATATTAAGGCAACTTTTATTTTAACTTTTCTTAATTATTTTGGATTTCATATTTACATTAAGGGCCTTCAATTTGATAGCAACAAAAATAAAAGGATTGGGGAGTCAATAAAAAAGATTTTTTTTTTAAGTTATGAAGATATTATTTTATTATTTTTTTTATAAAATCCTATTTTTCTTATTTATTTAATTTATGCAATTTTATTGAGCTTTTTTATTTTTTTTAATTTACATTTGGAAGTTCGGACAAAACACGATATTCACAATGTCATTAATAAGAATTAACTTTGACAATTAATTGATCAAAAAAATTACAAAAGAAGTTTAAAAATTTCAGAAAAGGATCCAAGAAATTCCAGAAAATGACCAAGAAATTTTTTGGTACTTTTATGAAAATTTTGAATTCTTTTTGTGTCACTTTATAATCAATTAATTGTTAAAGTTAATTTTTATTAATGATAATAATCAAATTACATTGTTCTAAAAAATTTTGAGAGAATATTACACAAAAAATGAATTTAGGATCCAAATTTTTTTAAACTTATAATTTAAAAGTCAATTTACTTATTTACTCTGATTAAAAAGAAACCTTTCTCATATATATATCCATGAAAGCAACATGTCAACTTGTGTTTTAGGACATCTCCCGAGGTCCGCTTCATTAATTTATCACCATTGTTGCTACTGGTTACTATCTGATATCCTTTGTTTCCAGCCTCCATTCGTTGCGCCTCTCTCTTGATAACAAGAAAATGTAAACATTAAAAGGCTCGATAAAGAAACCACGTGCCAAGGGACTGGACATGCCTAATTGCTCGTCAAATGATATGCTTAAATTTTTTTTTTTTTTTTTTGGCCAGAGGTATGCTTACATTTCAATTGCACTAGATTTACCTGAAATTTTACTTAGAACTACTATTGGCTGAGTTTTAATATAAAAGAAGGATTTCTTAAAAGCTTAATGTACAAATCTGCCTCTAAAATTTGTTTAGAGATACAATTAATATTCTAAAATATCTCTTTCGTCTTAAATTATAAAATATTTTTAAATAAAATATTACATATCAATAAATCTCATTAAATATATTTAACAATCTTATCTTTCTAAAATAAAAATATAAACTTTTAAAAATACTTATTATTTAATATATTGAAAAGAAAAGAGATAAAATTAATTATAAAAAAAGATAATTTTAAAATTGATATATTTAATAAAACTTTAATTTTTTTCAAAATATTTTATATTTTAAATTAAAATTTTTTTTAAAAAAATATTTTATAATTTGAGAGATAGAGAGTATTTAAAAAGGCAATGTTGCGCCCCAACATTTTTTAAATGGTGTAATGCCACCCTGAATTGACAAAATCAAAACGTGGACACGTTAATTTGACTTATCCTGCAGATGGAACATGCCCATGTGGCGTTTGTTGCCCAGATCAGTAAATCAAAAAGTTGACATTTTCCCCGCAACAAGGTCTTGATGTTCTTCAACAACACAAAGTAGCCCTTGTCTTGTTGCTCTTCCTTTAGCTTAGATTCAAGAAACAACCATGCCCAACAAATCAAGAAACAATACCCAGAAAATCAAGAAGAGAATGACGATGAGGGGGAAAACAACAGCACTCATCATTTTCCTTTATGCTCTAATTGAAGGACCCAAGTCAAAAAATAACAATACCCAACAAATCAAGAATAAGGCAAATAAAATTTTTCCATCAATTTAGCAGAAATTTACAAAAGAGAAATATAGAGGATTTATTGATTTCTTTGTGCTTCAGAGGTAGATCATCATCTCAAATTCACACATTCGACAATATTATACCAGCAATCTGCCCTCCAGAGGCAGTTTACCCAACCAAAGAAGGTCCATCGACATCTTCGTGCTTCTTCAAAATGATGGGATCCCCAGACTCATGAAATCGGAAGGCAGCCAGCATAGATTTGTTGCTTCAAGGAAAGGAGAGTTAACGATCCATACCCCTTTGAAGCCTTGACAAATGAAACCCTAGGCGTGAGAGGAGAAACTACAAATGGAAACACGAACAAGGGATCTCGGTGAATAAGGTCTCGGCAAGTGAGAGAGAGAGAAGAAGAAACTTAGGTAAAGCCATGAGAGGAAGAGGAAGAGCGATCTGAGCAAGCAAGCAACAACAGTGGTCGATTTAAGCATCAAGGAGCAGCAACGCCAATCAGAGCAAGAAAAAAAAAAACAAAATCAATGAACGCTAAACCTTAACAAAATGAAATCAACGACGGAGAAGCACTAGCTCGAATTGAAGAACATCGTGAGCCCAGAGACTCGATGGTGGTGAGGGAGAGTGATAGGGTCAAGTGCTTCTTTAGATTTGTTCAATGGTGGTAAAAAAAATCGAGGATGAAACTGAGTCATTGATGTTTTTTTGAATCCTTCTTGCTACCGATCTAGATTTGGTTTTCAGGAAGAAGAGGAAGAAGAAAGTGAACTCAGCAGTGACGATGGAAGATGAGAGGTTGGGAAAGAGGAAGATGCAAGGTGATGACAAAACTGGTGGGACCTACCATTAAGTCCACCCAAGAATAGCATTATTCCGAATGGGAAAAAAATAGTGACGTGGATGCTTTCTAGGAATGCTACATAAGTATAAAAAGGTCAATTAACAGTCAACGTTTTGCTTCTGTTTATTCTGGGTGACATTATAACATTTTAAAAATATTGAGGGCAACATTATAATTTTAAATATTTTAAAATATCAATTGCATTCTGAACAAACTTCAGGAATAAATTTATATATTAACCCTTTATCAAATATCACTATTGAGATATTGCGATTTTTAACTAATTATAGCTGTTCTAAAGAGTGATATTAAACTAATTTTGTGCCGCTTTCATAATTAATATGCGGCAGCATGCATTTTACTTACTTGAACCCGTCTAACAAGCAAAGCCAGAAAGAAACAGTAAGACATAGCAGAGTTCCTGTAGTAATAGCAAAGTATGGAAGTTATCGGCTTTGTTTTTGAGAGTTAGCTACTTAACCAAAGCATATCTTGAAGCACATTGCAATTGTATTAGGATCAAACATACTGCAAAACTGGCCAAAGCGCTTCCACAGCTTCAACATCTCAACTATCAGGCTAGCATAAAACATCATTCAAAGACGACAATACCCTTCCTTCTTTTTTGAAGCTCCAGATTTAATTCTGCTTCATTGACGGTTTCCTCAAGCTTCACGCATTCAAAGTTTCAAATCCTATTTCAGTATGCTGTCTAAACTTTCTGGAAGATGGCGAGGAGGTTTAACTGAACCATCATCCTTTTCTGCATACCAAATCTAGATCCCCTGACTACAATATAATGCTAAATTGCATAATGTGATCGTCCATCAAGACTCATCCCCGCTTGCTTGAGTCTCTGCATCCAAAATCATGGATACAAAAGTCACCCCATGCCCTTTGATGTTTCTTCAGGGCCAGAAATCAGGATGCTATCGTTTGGGTTGAAATACGGTGCCTCTCAAAAGCTTCATAAGCATGTTTGGTTCTTCGAAATAATAGCACACTAGAAGCTACACCAAGGATTGATAAGCATGCCCAAGTGATAAATGTCCAGAAGTAGCACTGCCTTCCCATGCACACTACTGAATCAGACATTGCTAAGCTTCCTACTCCAACCATCGAAGTCTGTGCATTGGCATCATAAACCTCCGCAGCTAGCAAGCCATAGAGAAGGGACCCGATTGGGATATTTGTAATGAGAATGTTGTGATTAACTCCTACACTGTCAGGTCCAAAAAGCTCGGATGTAATACATACAGCAGCAGCAAATATAAACCCAGAGCTCCACCCAATTAAAGCAGTGCCTGCATGAAGCGCCAGAGAACTTCCCGATGAAGCAAGCAAGAAGAAAGCAACTGGGGTTGGGATAAGAGCAATGGCTAACCATCCTGTCCTTGCAAAGTAGAATTTCCTGAAAACAGCAAAATCATGATCACCCTTTATAGAAATTAGCCAAGAACACTAACACATGGGAAACTTATGCCCCCCAAACTTCCGTCCTTTACCATTTGAGAACATTTGGAATTCAGGATTTTAGACCATTCCATTCCTGTGTAAAGATTTTGTAATAACTTGACGACCCTTATTTCCTTTTAAATCAATGGGGCATACCATATGACAATAAAATGGATGCGAAGAGGTGTATGCAAATAAAGAGAAGGATGGCAGGTGAATGCGCAGTTTCCCCCAGAAATTAAAATAAAAAACATACTAAAATCTGAGAGCATTGAGAATATGAATACTTACTTGCGGATATAGTCTGGTCCCGCTGAAAGCAAGCGGCCGAAAAAGGAGAAGGAAGAATAGAGTGTGACAAGGGTAGAAGTACTTGAACTCAGGCCTAGAGATTGGGCAATCTGTCCGAGATTATTGCTGTAGACCAGACCAATTGTGCCTCCACAGAAGTAAGCAACATAGTAGAGCCAAAAATCCAACCTACGAACCAACACCGAAGCTGGGTGCTCTTCTCCCAGCATTACCAACTGATCCTTCTCAATCAAATGCTCACAACAGGGATCACTAACTTTTGCCTTCTGACTTTGGTATATGGACCCGTTACTGTTGTCACTCAGCAAGCCGAGAGAATCTCCATTGCTAATAGCACTATTCTGTCGGGAAAGGAGTTCCTTGTGAAGCTCAAGATCATCCACATGTACAAGAATGAAGCGTGAGCCTTCCATCCGAAAGCTAGAATGGATGGTACGATGAAACCATTGTCGAGCATAGATAATGCCAGGAATGCATAATGGGAAGACAAGGAGGAAAATAGCACCGCAGAAGAAGTAGCGAGCTATTGCTTCATCAGAGGTAGATGAACCGAAGATAAGGAGATAAATTCCGGTGAATATGGCTGAGACGTTTAGTATTAGGAAAATGAATGAGTCCCTATGAACTGCATCAGGAGGCAGAGGTTCTAAGGCTGGTTGGCGAAGGATTGGAATGAGTGCTGCAATTGAAGTGACAAGGGGAACGAGAGCATTCAGAAGGAGATACACTGAATCTGAAGATGGGTTTACTGAATTGGCAGCAAGGGTGTAGAGTGCTGCACTTACACCATTGAAGGCCACTGTAAGTGACAGTGCAAGGGGTTTATTGACGGGGAAATTCCTGATGCACAGAACAAAGCATACTGTGTTGAACCAACAGATGCTACAGCCAGCCAACAAGCAGAGAAGAAAGACCTGGTCCAACACACAAATCGAAAACTTGTCACTGTAATTTTAGGCTGTGAGTAAATCATAACTTTGCACCGGCAGAAAAAGAAAATGTTCCAAATCTGAACCAGGGATCATTAGTTCCATAATTTGAAGCCAGCATCAGAAATTATGGTTAATAGAAATTAGCAATTTGTTTTTCAAAGCAAAACCTCTCCTCCAATGGATGCTCAAGGGTTATTATTCGATATGACTCAGTAGAATAGACAGTAAGAGGTATCGAAGTGAGAGATAAAGCCAAAACTTTTGAAGTACACCAAACATTCTAGTCCTGGACGACGACGACGATGACGACAAGCCTTATCCCATAAGTTGAGATCGGTAGATACATAAATTGAATAATGTCATTATACTCTGTCATTAACCAAACTTTTAATGTACTAAATTTACGTACACTTCATACACAGCTAAATAGTGCAACGGTATTGCATATGATAAAATCTATTGGCACATCCATTTTAATGAACCAGCGTTCACCCTCCCATGCATCATACTTATTGTATTAATCTTACCAGAAAGTTACTATGACTAAGTTGTGAAAATAGTTGCAAATACTTTTAAAGTTGAGAATTTATTAAAAGATAAAACAATTGCCTTACAAGTAGTACATTGTTAGGCATCAATTGCAAATAGAATGAAACAGTACTCAACAATTAGCACTACACTAATTGCAAGTTCCGGAATATATGAATGGTTATTAGCTTCCTTCTTTACTATATGAACGTAAAGAAATATCCCTAAGAATTTTCCACGTCAATGCCTTTCAAATCGGTAGCATTGACTCTAACACTCATCCATATACAAGACAAGAAGTATATAATTCTAGTATACGCTCAGATAGTCACAATCACATCTCAGAAATGTTAACAATTAAGGCAGTTTTTGATCCATCATGCAATTCTGGTTTTCATAGGCTTTCATTTTCAGAGTTGCAGGTTGAGACAGATAGAGAGATCAGTGCATATTACACAATAGCATGCTACCTATAGGAGAAAGCGCGAGAGGCCAAACTACTTCCGACTGTCTTCGAATAGTTCCCACTTTTTCCATTTTTGGTGTTCCAACATCACAAAAGAAATTTTACATCAGCGGAAAGTTTAAATGGAATTTTAAAAGTGTAGAGGACAGAGCATCCGAGACAAAGCTACTTTCAGCTCTCTTTGAGCAGTTTCTACATGTATCTCTGTCTGGAGTAGCGTTCAAACATCAGAAAAGGAATTTTACTCTCGCTGAAAAGTGTTGAGGAAGTTTTGAAATTCAAGAATATTGCAGACTCCCTTTACATGTCAATCAACTTTATAGCTGGTATCCATCATGTGATATGCTATGCCTTCCTCACGCCAGTTTTACTAACAGTCTTTCAATCATCAATATCACAAGGAGGAAAAAAAAAAATCAATGTCAATGTGTTCAACATATAAAATATTAAATTTGTAAAAAAATATTATTTATAAGTCATAAAAAATACAACTGTCCCTTAAGCATGTGGTGAGGGGTTTGATTTCTCACTCATGCGAATGGAGAGCACTCTATGGCTAGCCGTTTACTCCCTTGTGGGAAACCCGCGGCGAAGGGATTAATCACCGCTACCGGCGGTGGATACCCTGAGCAATTGAAAAAAAAAAATACAACTCTTTTCGGAGCACTGAGCACTTTCCAAAAAAAAGGTTTGAAGTTTTGTAATAACTATTAACTATTCCGTGCAGTATGAGAAAAGACATTTACCTATAGATCATTTCTATACCTATATATATATATATATATATATTATATGATATAATATTCTGTCTATGCTACAAAATCCATAAAAAAGACTTATAAATAGTGTAATTTATCTTCAAATCCATACAAAGTATAGAGCTATACTCAGCTTGATAAATTTAGAAGTTGATAATTTGATACATTTATATCATTTAAATTAAACTAAAGCACTCCACAAAAAAATAGCACCGTGGGAAAAGGTCATCCGTTGAATATACTGGACCACAAATGAAATGAAGGCAGCTAAAATAAATTCAATAACTTCAACTATTTTCCGGCAAAATATTTTTATTTAATTTCCTTTCAATAATAAATGGAGTTCCAAGGGGCCAAAAAACGCAAATAAAGCTCCTTAATTGGTCAAATTTTAAAAGAGAAGAGAAGGCAAAAAGTTATTCAGTACTTAGCTAACATAACCATTTTTACTTTTGTTATTTATATTTAGCACAAAGAAAAAAGAACAGCAAAGCTTTTTGACACAAAAAAAAAAAGAGAGAACAGAAAATGACACCTTAAGACAAATACAAAATGTTTGATTTATATTGTGTGTGTGTGTGTGTATTTGAATTTTAATTTGATCACTCAAACTAAATAATAAGGTTCA